TTGAAAAAGCGAACGTTTGTTTTGATCTTTCTGATTGTGCTACGTTACACCAAGGTGTGATCCACTATTGGATAATTCCCACGTGATGCTGGGGAAGTTCCGTGATTGGTTTAAAATCACGGGACTGCGGACTTTTTATGCGGTAGCTATGTTTTCAAAATTTCAAAGTACGATTATGTCAAAAGTTAAAACGCACAAATACTTCGGCCGTGATTCCTCCGATTGGAATATATTAGATTTTTTGAATGCGTGTGACGTGGAGCCATTTGACAATAAGATAGATGTTTACCTAAAATCTCTTGAAAACATCTTTGATAAAGAGCAAGATGCCCGGAGGGAAAAAGCGCGAGCACTCCTTGACAAATATAGAACGGCTAGTAATAGTTTTCTTTTTTTGTGACATGACGAAGGCTTTTTGGGTCAATGTCAAAAGGCTTCTGGCTGAGTCACAAAAACCGATGTTAGGGCATGGGTGGCTTTCTGGGTTCCCTGTGTTAAAGGTTTCTGGCTGACCTAGCATCGGTCCCATCGGGCACGTGGGGCTTTCTGGGTTCCCTGTGTTCAAGGTTTCTGGCTGACCGGTGGGATATATGAAAATAGTTGAGAATTTTACTAATTCAGCAAGTTTGTTATTTTTATATTTTAGGGAAGTGATCGCACATTTGCTAAAAAGTGGAATAAAACGCGTAAATTGCATATTTCAAGTGGGACAACAATTAACATTAATCATTCAGTTTCCGCAATAAATGGAACAATACATGGAACGATCAATAATAACTCCATGTCCGGGAAAAGGGATCACAAGGTATTCAATTTTTTAGTTAATCAGTAAAGTTTTTAATGCTAATGCCAATATTGTTCTTATGGTATAATGATTGTGTTTCTATAGGATGAAATAGATCAATTTTTTCAAAGTCCCAATGATCAACAACCCAATCAGTTTAATAAAAAACTGCGAAAATTAGAGGCCACAGATGAATGTAAATATGCACCGCAAATCAACGATGATGATGATGAAATAGATAAAGAGATGTGTGAATTAAGCATGCTAGAGTTCGAACATATATTTCAAGGAATGAGAAAGGAAAAAAAGTGGTTTTTGAAATCGGGAAAATGCGTTGAGGACAAGTTGTATGCCTTTGGAAAACAATGCCGATTTGAACAGTATGTAAGGATATATTAGATATATTTTATTGCTATAAAATTTCTAACGCATGATTTGCGTTTGTTTTCAGTTTGGCACATTCTTTCATTATCGACCCCGATGACGAAACCTACTATCAAAACAATGTGTTTACCCCCGAAGAACTCGAAGAGATTCGTGATACAGAATCAAAAGACCTTCCTAAGATGCCGACCGAATTACTGAAATTTGTCAGCTCTTTCCGAAAGAAAACAACGGAAAATTTGCGGATAATGCTTGATACGCGAAAGGACTGGGAAGGCGAAAACTTTGACAGGGCTAAACACTTTGATTTTGACTGGATAAAACATAGCGTTCACAGTTTATTATTGGAATTTGAGTCCGGCACATTAAAGCAAAATCACTTGGAAGCGTGGTACAATATCCATATTTGGTCACTAATAGACAGATCCTTCAACGAGATAAAAGGGGTGGACGTTGCCAGAGGCGAGTCGTGTAGCCTTGCTTCTGCGAAACGCAAAAATAAACATAGAGTTATTCAAGGATTGGTCGCAACAACACGAAAAGCACTTGGAAGAAGAGGTGATTTAATATTAAGGAAAGGAATATACGAATACGGTGCTTCTGAGGTTGGAAAGGACTACGAGGGGGATAAAGGGACAAAGTTACTCAGAGAAAGGGGTCTAAAAAGTCCGAAGATGCTTAAGGACATGTTGGTAGATTTGGGTAATTATATAAAGTGGGAAAAAAATAAACTACGTCAATTGGAGCTAGTAAGCTTCATTCATGCTGGTAGTATGCTTTTAATCTGCCTATGATTTGATGAATTTGCTATAAATATTAACTATATTATTATACAGGTCTTTTCATGATTTTATTACGTATTGATGCTCCTGCCGGCTATATGTGTAGAATAACGAGATCGGAGACTCTACAGATACCAACCGATGTTAGTTGTTTTGAAGAAGCTCTTAAGTGTATGGTTTTGACTTGGAAAGCGAAGGTTAGTATTGATACTTTCATCATTACATCAATAGAATATTGTCAAATATCTAACTATCTTCGAGAGCTTTAGGCGATTGTCTGTAAAACAATTGGTGTTATTGAAGGAATTAATGATGATGATGATCACGATGATGTATTGGAGAATTTGCAAGAAGCTGGTGCCCGTAAGCATGAGGATTGTATTATCGTTCCTAACTGTGTTAGGACACCACAAAAAAAACGGACGGTCCTGCAAACATCGCAAGTTCTATTAAAGAAGGAAAAGCTTACCTTTCCATGTTCTTCGTAGTCAAAATAAATATTGTTCTGAAGCCTGTACATTATATATGAAATGTTATGTTGTATTGTAAATTCCTGATAAATTTCTACAATCACATGATTAATATAATTTGACCAAAAGAATTTAAAGCTTTAAGTTTATTTAATAAGACCTAATTCCTGAAGATGCTCTGAAATAACTATATACAGGTCTTCATAATACCAAACATATCTTAAAGTAATCTGATTCTTTTTACATAATTTTTTCTTGAGTTGATCCTGTGCTTGCTGTTTGATAAAATTATTGGGGGATCTTCTTCGTGAAAGAATTTATGATATTTTTCATGCTGTATGCCTTGTACTTCGATTGCAAAGCCATATTGTAGATAAAATATATTAAGTTCTAGTTCATTTGGATGGATATTCTTGTATTTTTAAGAATTTGGGCCTATGGATTAGTGAATGGAAGCCAAGATATTTTGTTAAAATCTTATAATATAGCTTTTCTCTTTTATATTTCAGGCAGAATGGGCACCATGAGTTTGAATGTTTAACATTATCAAAAGTAGCAAACTATATATGCTTTTTATCACACATCTATAATAAAGCTGAATGATTATTAATATAATATTCAGAAAGACAAGCTCCTTTTCTATTATAAGCCAACTGTCTAGCATCTTCAAGTGTACAAGGCCTATTAGTTGTGTAATATAGACACCACGTCTTATTATTTTTCATATTATAAAATGATGCATTTCATTCATACCTTTTAGAACAATGCTATAATAAAAATAAAGAATTATTAATATATGTTTTGGAAAGACATTTCTCATTTTTACTAAAAGCAACTTGTATACATAGCATTTTCAATTGTACATATGACTGGCCTTGTTTGCACTATATAGACACCATGTCTTACCATTTTTGATATTATTAAGAGATATAGTTTATTTATGATCACTTGCACATCGCCACTGTATTGAAGTAATAGCATTAATTTATTTAGTAGAAATATATATTCTATTTTTACTACAAGCTAATTGTCTTGCATTTTTAACTGTAAGAGATCTATTGCCTGCACAATATGAGTACCACGTCTTACTATTTTTTATATTATTAAGTCTTGCCATTCATTTGTAGTCTTTAGCACAACACTATAATAAAAGTAAGCAATTATTAATATACTTGGTTGAAAGACAAAGCCCACCGTGTTTTTCAGCAATTACACAAGTATCATTTATTGTTAACTTTCTCATTGCAAAAAATGATTCTTCAACAAAAAATCAGAACTTTAATTACCAGATTTTCAGAAGCTATAAATCTTTAAAATTTGATAAGAATGTCTTTTTCTTTTTTGTGCTTCTCTCATAACTCTATTTCTTTTTGCAGATCTAATGAAGTATCAAATCTCAATCGAATTGCAAGTAGATCATCATCTGATTTGCTTAGATCAAAGACAATAAACTCATCTTTTTGAAAATAGCTATTAATAACCATGGATACACTTTTCATATCTTCAGTATATTGTCTAATAATCTTGAAAATATCTTAAGAGGAACTTCCGCCATTAAACATTATTAAATGGGAAATATTCTTATAAATAATTATTAGTATATAGTGATAATATAGTATTACGTAAATAGGTAAAATGTTCCTGTGGTACTTGTGAGTAAAGAAAGAAATGATTTGATTTTGTATATACTCTGAAGCGATATACAAGTTCTCAAAAATAATAACAGTGCTCTTTTTTGATGAAAATAATTTTACATTTAGAATTCTTTTAGAAGAAATATAGCTAAACTAAATATTTTTATAATATAGTGCTTTTAAATCTTTTGAAATTACACTATATATATATCTTACAAATATTTATTTTGGTTTGTTAGGATGATAACCACATACTATCAAATCATTAAATCTAATATATCAGATTCTTCCTTTATGTCCTTTGTATATATACTCACTTTTATCTCTAAAAACAAAATTTGCTAGTAAATTGGTCTTACCTGTATCACTTCTTCCAATGATTAATATACTGAAAGACTAGTTAGGCAATGCTTCATAACCTTTTACTTGGAATAATTCATACTTTGTAGTCTTATTTATATCATTAGCAAAATATATAAATGTAAACTTATATAAGTTATTATAATCTGAAATATTGTGCAATAATTATAGTCTGACAGAATATTTTGAAATAAATTACAAAATATTATAAAATATTATGAAATATATTTTAAAATATTACTATATTTTCGCGAAATAATGCACAGGGGTGAAATTATGAATTTTGGCCTAAATTAAACTTAATTCTGGTCATTATTCGAAATAACGCCCATGCCTGTTATTTTGCAAAAATACGGTACAAAATATTTTTTGAACTATAATATAAAACAATTCAAAATAGTTTGAAATATTTCGAAATATTATGAAATATTTTTCAAACTACAATATAAAACAATTTGAAGTAGTTCAAAATATTTTGAAATAATTCAAAACAGTGCGTAATAAGTTAAGTTAAATTTTGAAATATATTTTGTAATATTTTAAAATTTATTTCGTAATATTTCGATAAAGATTATATAAAATTATAAAATCAACAGTAATATTATTTAATATGATTTGATTTATTTCAAATTTATTTGAATCAATTTAACTTCATTAGACTTTATAGAGTCAAGTCAACAAATATTTATAAACTTAATTGATAATCCGCCAGTCAACAGAAGAATAAACATAGTATAACATGATACAAATCACTATATAAATCCAATATAGTGTGAATCTGAAAAATTTCTACTGTTCATCCAAAGAAAACATTTTTTAGTACTAAGTTAATTGATTTTGTAAATTAATTTAAAGTTGTAGAGCTTGTTCTTGCGGTTCTAATGGTAGTTAAATAATCCAAATCGACCCAGTGGATGCCGAGATATCTTTAAAAATGCATCAACAACTATATAAAATCTCTATATAAACAATATATTGTTTACATAGAGATTTTATATAGTTGTTGACACGTTTTTTAAAGATATCTCAGTATCCATTAGGCCGATTTGGATGATTTAACCACCATTAGAACCGCAAGGACGATCTCTACAACTTTCAATTAATTTACAAAATCGATTAACTTAGTACAAAAAAAATGTTTTTTTTGGATGAACTGTAGAAATTTTTCAGATTTACACTATATTGGATTTACATAGTGATTTGCATCACGTTACACTATGTTTATTCTTCTGTTGACTGGCGGATTATCAATTAATAATTTATTAATAAAAGGGTATAGTGATTTAGTGAAGTGGTAGAATTGTTGCATCCCCAGATAGCAGATCTAGAGTTTAAATTTCACAGACAACATTTTTAAAAAATAGCCTTGTAATATAGTTAATGGCTATAATGATTAGTTGGATTCTAATTTGTAACCTTAATTACACTATCTAGAATAGGAGCTCTGATATAATAAACCCAAGAAACTAAAATAACTGAAAACTTATTTGGCAAGTCCCGAGTTGGGAAGTAGCAGTGATTTTTAATGATACTATAGAAAAACTAAATTTGAAACCAGAGACTAAAACTAAAAAACCAAGCAATCAGATTCTTAAGTGAAAAAATATACTAGTCAAACCGCTAGCTTGCCAACTAGAAGAAAAGAACTTGTACTTCAGAAGCATGTATCAAGAGAAGGATAATCATAAGGCACCTAAAGCCTGAGCAGACCAACTCTTCTGAGTTGCTAGCTAGAAGTAAAAGAAGGACTAGTAAGAAATCTAGTAAAGAAAAAGATTGAAATATAAAAACTAATTAGGAAGGTTGTGGCTTAAAATATAGATCAGATTATAGCAGTATCTAAAAAAATAGTTTGAGATACAAACCTGATAGCAGTAGCACAACAGGTACTAGTTAGAAAAAGTTACCAAACATGTAAATAAATACATATGTGGGACATGTACTATTCTGTTAGATTTACTACAAGGATAAATGCTCTTCTAGAAAACTAGACTAATTGGAGACTAAAGTTTTAGGGTTTTTAACAGTAAATTATCCTGAAAGAATATATTAAAAAAAACATAGTATAGGGGTTGAACTAGAGAGTTTAAATAAATAGCTTTATAATTAAGCTATAGGTATAATAGCTAGTATAGAATCTTAGAGTAGACTACTTAAATTAGACAACCAAAAGTTGTATGTGTAGCTAGTTGTACTCTTGTAATACTACTATAACATGTCATATATAGTCTTTA